CCCATCCATGTCTTACAGCAACTCAGTATACTTAATTGGTCACAGGCCTGTCTAAATGTTTCAACATCCTTGCCCACCACAGGCCCTCCCATATGTTGTGGTAATGCACTTACAGGCCTGTACATATGTTGCTCTCACTTTAGTCCCTCAGGCCTGTCCATGTGTACTGGCTAATCTATTTAGGTGAGCCCATCTTGGGGTCCATATGAGCATTGGTGTTTTGGCACACAGGCTGCCCATGTGTTGTGACTAAATGTGACTACACTATGTGCACAATCACAACTGACATTTGTCTTGGGAAAGCATACTGTGTGAGGGTTTTCATCTTTGATGTACTGAGGCATTGGATATACCACATTTATAGGCTACTTGTACTTGGCATTGTAAGCACTTAGCAAACCAGAGGGAACATGTGGAAAGTATCATGCACAATGAAGGAGTTTAAGTGAGTGGGAAGCTGCAAGTCTGTTAGTGGCCTGACAGAGGTGGGCATGTGGGTGTACAACACATCAATCTTGGCTGCAGAGGTCAATGAACCTTGCTCCACCATGGGCATTACACTTCGAGAGGCGACAGACAGGCCCTTTAGTCAAGACCATCATTAGTGTGGTTGGAAGGAAATCGCATCCACGACCCAGTGAGGAGAAAAGTAAGAATTGAGAGTCTGTACAGTATGTTCACATATTCTTGCTACACAGTTGCTTGCCAGCTTTGGTATTTTACTTTGTTTGTGATCCTGGCAAGCCACCACTCTGCCATGCTGTGGAGTTTGTATTTTGAACCGCTCTGATGATGATGGATAGTGAACCCCTGGAACCCCTCCTACCAATTATTGCAGCACTAGCGACACTCGTTGGTGAGTATTGCCTCAAGCTAGTGACTGAAGGTATGCCCTCCGATAAGGATCGAGCCAACTGGACTGAGGAAGAGAAAGAGGCCCTTGTCACTTTTCTTGTCAATGAGAAAATCGCTGGCAAGATGGGTGATGGGTCATTCAAGTCTGCCACTTGGAGTGCAGCTGCTGCCCACATAAACAAGAAATTCCCAAAACAAAAAGGTGTGATGAAGACCTCTGATATGTGCAGAGGGAAGCTCAGTAATGTGAGTATCCTGTTCCCTCCCCAGCACCTGTGTAGCCTCATCAATCATTATTGGTACAGCTCAAATCCATACTGAGGGATATCAACTTATGGCGAGGTCGTTTTGGAAAGCATCGGGATAATGAAAATGGGGCGAATATTATCTCTGGGAGTGAGGAAAGTGACTTCAAGGAGTGGTTAGCAGTATGTGTCCATCATCTTGGGTCCATTGCTTGACATCGATAACATCCATCGACAGGGCCAACCCAGGAATGCTATGCGCCAGTTTAAAAATGTCAGTTGGCCCCTGCTTTCAGTGATGGAGTCGCTGTTTCCAAATGACCAAGCCTGTGGTATGTGCGCCTACCATCCTACAACTTCTGTGGCATTTGTATCCAGCACCAGTGGTCCTGGCCTCTCCATAAACCCGTCTAGCCATACCTCCAGTGATCCGGTGATGATCCCATCCACGTCCTCCACTGCTTTACAGTTCGTTACTCCTCAGGTTGGAAGCTCCACCAGCATCATTGAAGATGATGCAATCGATCAAATGTCTGTCGACAAGGTAGCTCCTGCTAACAGAATGAATGTGCAGTCCCAGCTATTTTCAATGCAATTTAATCCACCCATGCCAACTCTCACTTCCCCTATGACATTACTTAGCTCATATCCCCCCTCAACTACCAGCTCTATGCCATCAAGTAGGAAGTGTACACATGCAGACGCCAACCCTGCTTCACCCTCTGTTGAAATTCCATCAGTGCAAGCTGCGCTCCAGTCACTCTCTATCAAGGACAATGCAGAACGCTCTTCAAAGAAGTCAAAGAAGAGCAAAGAAAGGGCTTCTGAGGATCATTGCAGATATCCTGAAGGATAAAAAGGTGGCCAGTATCAGTCCTCCCACTTTACTTGTCGGTGTACAGGGTTCCCTTTCATACCTTGGGTCTGTTATCAGTTCGTCATCTGCAGTTTCCACACAGCAAAGGTGTACTGAGCATATGCATGCCGCTGTGGAGATGCTCACACAGCAAGATGATGACCTTCCCCTGTTAGCTAACACAGCCCTGATGGAAGCATTCCATATGGATGGGGGGGCGATCGATTTATACCTCATGTTGGATGATAAAACCCTTCGTAGAAACTGGATTCAGACTTGTCTTCATAACCAGAAACTCATTCCAGATGACCTTGTGTTGTAGTACCTCCATCATGTTTGTATCCCTGCTTGCAATTTATCTGACCCAGTGTTTTGTTATGCAAAGAATGATCCAGAGATATTCATTTAGAAAGTGAGAAAAGTGTACATAAAACAATCTCTATGATCAAGTTTGTCCTCACTTCCACAGATACTCCTGGTAGTCATGCCACATTGCCTCAGCAATAGAATCACACAACACCCTGGCTGATAATTCTTGAGGGACATTGTCTCCCTCATCATCCCCTGATAGTGCGCTTTCTTCTTGCTCAATGTCGCCAATTTCCCCAGTACCCCCATCACCTCCGCTATCCCCCTCCAGCATTTCTCCATCAGCATCTGGATCCCGTTCGTGCGACATAATTAAATTGTGGATAACACATAGGGTGACAGGAATGAGCGCCTGGATCTCGATAGGATATTCTGGAGGGAGAAGAAGAATTTGGAAACGACACTTGATGACACCAAAGATTCATTCAACAACATTCTGTGCAGATGAGTGATGCAAATTGAAAAGCTCTTCTTTGTTTGCAGGCCTGTAAAAGAGGAAGTAAATGGATATCAATCACACAGTAAATGCATACCTTAATGATGCTTGTCACCACTCTGCCAGGTGATAGCATGTGCGGCGGTAAGGTACAAGGACTCCTTCTGACAATGGGAAACCAGTGTCACCAAGGAGATACTTTCCTTGGGGAATATCAAGGCTTGATGCACACGCTTCCTGGAAAATTCGTGCATCTGTAGCCAAACCCTCCCAGCCAGTCAATACATAAGTGAAATTCATGCCAAAATCACAGGCGAACATGCAATTCTGGGACATGGTGCCCTTTCAGTTGCAGTATGCAGTGCAGTCATGAAGTGGCAGGGAAGCAGGAATATGACTGCCATCGATGGCACCGATTGCATCCTTGAAGTACAGCCAGAACCTATGACTCTGCATGATTTTTGGGTGGACAGTAGTAGTTGAAGAAGCGAATGGGAGTGATACATGCTTTGAATAGAAGGGTTCAGAAGCAAAGATTGTAACCATTTTGTGGAAGTATCTAAGTACAGATGCTGTTAGAAATGGGTGCAGAAAAGCGAATCAAAACATACCTCGAGATTGTATCATTGGATCTCTGAAAACATTCTCCAACATGTCTGATTGGTAGGCCAGTGACAGATGTATACAAAAAAATTGCGAGCTGTTCTTCAAGAGAGGTGTGCTTCAAGGCTTGGTAGCCATGGTTGTGGAGTTCAAGAGTAATTTCTTTGAATGTGTGTATGCTCATACCTAACTTGCAACATATATGGTCTGGGTGACCAAGGATCAGTTCAACCAACCAAGCCTCTCCAGAAAGCGCAGATGTGTGGTATGGCCATATATTCCTAGGGATCTCTCCAGAGAGGAGATCAACCATTAGTTTGGTAAGAATCTGGACAATGACAAGGACCTTCTCTTGTATGAGCTCTCACGATTGATGTGCTTCTTCATCATCCATGGCTGTGCGCCAAGCATTGATCAGCAATATGAGCACAATATGAGCATCGCAGCTGGCAGTCAACTTTCAATTTCCGACCATTCTTACTAATCACCCAATATATCTCTGTAGAATTGTCAAAGAGTGTAGTGAGACTATGCAAGCATACCGTATGGACTCTTAATTGGAGGGCATATCTTCAGTCACTAGCTCGAGGCAAGACTCACCGACGAGCATCACTAGTGCTGCAATAATTGGTAGGAGGGGTTCCAGGGGTTCACTATCCATCATCGTCGGTGTAGGAAAAGTCCAAGTAGCTGTATAATATGAGCTAGATGACTTAGATAACAACAATAAAAAAATGAAGGGAATGAATTGCTCGTCCCAAGGGATTCTGGACTGTCAAGACTAGAAGGTGAGACCTGGTGCTTTGTAGTGGTAGTGGTTCATGACATGTGTGGCATGGTCTGCGGAATAGTACTGGCGATGCGAGTGGTGCGAGCGGTATACATAGTTCATGCATGGCGGAACGCGAGATGTGCAGTATAGACAAAGTGTAAAGGAAACTCATGGTGACCTTCCGAGTGCCAAAAGGTATCATTCTGTACCTATGTACAGGGCTTTATAGTCTGGACAAACCCGGAACCTAAGTAAGACAGGGTACAGTAAGGGAAAGCTGCACGACAGCGCATACACAGAAGACAGGCCAAAACAGAGGCCGAGGGTATACTACAAGCACTAAAGGAATAGAGACCATGATAAGAGAAAGAGTCCGAGGAAAAACAACAACCGGAGCACAGTGGCCATGGGTATAGCATCGCATGAGAGGGAGCAAGGGTGTGGGAAGGTAGCGCATGAACAACAGTGAATGTGAGAGGGGAGCAGATGTAACAGTAGTCATGGAATGGTTAATGATAGGGCTTACACATCCAGGGAATGCAGATTCCTCACACCTGTGGGGGACTTAGATGCTGACCATCCCTGGTCAGCCACATGGTGCAGAGGACATAAATAGCTTGCTGCGTGGTGATGGCAACAGTGTGGTACCGAGGGTTCAAGAACACTGGTGAGTTCTGCATAGAAGCAAAGGAAGCATAGAGTCAAGGGACACGAGAACACTGTTGAATGCTGCATATAGGCGTCTGGACCGATGACATAAGCGCCTCATGGCCACTAAGTATATAATTGTTAGTGCGTGGCTCAAACCTTCACATTGATTTGATTCTTTCCCCCTTTATCATCAATCCCCCCATCGCTCTAACCATGTCAGCTAACTGTGCCCCTTGTCTCTCCCAACTCATATGCGCAGCCACCCCTGACCTGGTCGAAGCGGAGAAGGCCAACCTGCAACAGCAAATCACAGCTGCATCGGCTATTCTTGTGGCTGAAGCAAGGTGTTTCCCTGAGGATCGTGAAGGAATGCAAGAGGAGAAGACAATGTGGCTGCGATGCTGGGAGGAGAAGACAGTGAGATGAATGTGTGTCAGCAGTACGGTAGCATGGAGGCTGATTGCATTTGTTTCTAGGCTATGCTTATGCCGTTGGTCAAGCGTGGGAAGGAGCTCGGTGTCACAGTAAGGGTGGACGCAGCAGAAGTGCCTATACTGGCCGAAGCAGACAATGTCTACGAGCGGTGGACAGTGGAGGAGGCTGAAGTGCATGCAAGGGCCGAGCAGGATGTCCAGATGGGGGATGAGAATGTGCAGGAGACTGGAGGGCTGGGTGCAAGCATCGCAGTGCCTGTGGCAACAGAGAAGATGTTGCACGTAGAGGTGGTGTCCCATCCGGTGTGGAAGGTAAGTGCGCAGATGGAAGGTTGTGGTAATGATTGACACTGGAGTCCAAAGCGATCACAGCAGACTGTTGCAGAGAGCAAAGATGAGGACGAGCCCAAGATTGTCATTCCTCCTGGCTCAATCCTCCACAAGGTCCCATGCACACAGTGCACAGTGAAGAAGACAGCCTGCATCAGACCCATTGGGCAGACATGCGATGGCTGTGCATGAATGAAGCAGGGGTGCGAGAAGTCGACAAAGGCCACAGGAAAGAAGGTGCAGGCAGGTGCATCGGTCAGTAAATAATGACCCCACCTCAGGAGGTGCAAAGTTAACAGCTAGCAGCACAGGCCTCGAAGACTGCGAAGGCAAGCTTGTCCAAGAGAGTCATAGATGACGATGATGATGATGATGAAGTCAAGGTGGTCAAAAGCCACACACGTGCGAAGGGGAAAGCACCAGTGCATAGCCAGCTCGATGCCAAGGTCATGGCCGACCTGTCGCAGTTGCTGAGGCTGCTTCGTGCTGAGGCCATGGAGTCACAGGCCACATACCTTCGCCTGCAGGTGCGCATCAATCAACTTGCCGAAGCTCTGGAGAAGATTGGGGTGGAATAAGAATGTTTATAGTTAGTTCAGATTTATTGTACCATCCCATCTGCATGTCAGCGCATACTGCGCTAAATATACCGCTTTGGTTGCTTCTGTGCGAAGTTGCGAACAACTGGACATGCTTGAAGATGAGCTGCAGGGAAGTGCGGCCATGGTGAGATATGGTGCGCGGGGTACTGCCTGACTTGTCTTCTTCATGCGACTTTTGACTTCTCTCAGCAGTATGTCCTCATGAAACAATCTTGATGGTAGGATGTGATGGATTCTTGAAGAGGAAGCGAAGGGACTGTTTATTGGGTAGCTGGGACAGTCTTTGTGTATCAATTGTAAGGAGACGGAAGGAGAATTGAAAGAAAAATAAATCAAGGGGCACACGCTGACTGTGCGATCAAAGAGGAAATGCATGGGGTGGCTGCAAGTATATGCAGTATAGAGCAGCTGAAGACGGTATCAGCGAGACTAGTAAGAGAGATAGGAGAGACGTTGTTTTGGCTATATACTTATTCAGTGTTTTGTTATTTTTCTGGACAGTTTTGGACTTTTTGTAAGCAGTTTTTATGTTTTTTGAGTGGGGACTAGCTATCAGTAGAATCACCGGACGAAACCCGGGTGGAATAGAGGTCTCTGGACGAAACCTGGGGTAAAACAGATAAAAGGAAACAAACTATGTCTGATATTGGGTGGATCAAGTGGTATGCTGGTCACCCCTGCAGGGGACTTTGAACGCTGACTGTCCCCAGCCAGCATGGGAGAAGGAATGAGTGTAGTAGAAGAAGCTGCAGGGAGGCAGGTGAGGCCATGGAAAGAGGTATGGGTATTGTGGGAGAAGAGGGTACAGGGGAATAGCGTGATGGACAAACTGTGGATACTGGAAGGGACAGATAGTCAGCTGTTCATGGAAAAAGCCTCCACATCATCATCAGTGGGGTCATCCTCAGCTTCCTCAAGCAGGCAGTCTAGCTCCTCATCATCCAACCCAGTAATGCAAGTCACGGTTGTGCGGGTCTGGGACTGCAGGTGGTAGGGAAGTAAGCAGAATGCAGCAAAGCGGAGTTTGGAGATGGAGCCATCCAGCTCAGCCAGCAGGTATGAACCCCCAGTGGTCCAACAAAGGACGACCATGGGACCAGTGTACCATGGCTTCGTCTTCCAGTTCAGCTCTTTCTCTATGTGGGAGTTGCGAACGAGCACGAGGGCACCGGGAGCGAAGTTATGGTCTTTAATGCGATGCTGAAAGGCAGTTTCGAACTGCTGGATAGACTGGAAGCGTGTGTGGAGGACGTTGCTGCAGACCTGGTCTAAGTCATCCTGACGCTTCTGTAACTGGTGCGCTCGCCAAGCTATCAGTTCTGTGGTAGTCAGTGGTGTCGCATCATCGCAGGACAGGGGTAAAAGGAAAGTAGCCTCGGCAAGGTCGAATGGGAACAGTGGTTCGACACCATGTACCATGAAATAAGGGGATAGACCCATGGATTTCAAAGTGGTGACCCACTTGGCCCAGAAGATGGAATGCGCAACGGTGTGCCAGTGGTGATCATCGTTCTCACAGCTCTTCATGATAGCCTCGTGAACATCATAGTGGCAATGCTCTACAATGCCATTAGCCTGAGAGTTGTAAGGAGAGATACAGATGTGGCGGATATGATATTGCATGGCTAGGGCATCTAAGGCTTGGACAAATGCAGGACCATTGTCAGTGACAATCTCAGTGAGTGGACCCCAGCAGCATAGGACATCCTCGAAGATGAAGGACGCAAGCACAGTACTATTTTCTGCATGCAACATACACCATTCAGGATAAGAGGTGAGCATGCAATGAGCCTGTACTATGTAGCAGTAGCCGCCGGCTTTGGGCATCAGCATCATGTCAATGTGAGCTTTATGAAACAGGCCCCCTATCATGGGTACAGTGGGGGGGATATGAAGCTTCTGTGTCTGGTGGATCTGGCATTCATGACAAGTGCAGACATACCACTTCACATCCTTGACAAGAAGAGGCCACCAGAAGCAAAGGAGAAGGCATGTGTGGACCGTGAAGACACCCTTGTGTCTGAGGTCGTCATGCACTTCTTTGATGAGACAATACTGCTTGGATTCATCGATGACTAGCTGGTGCCATCCATGCGGTTCTCTACACCATAGATTTCCATCTAGGAGGAAGAAGCAGCTAGCCGAGTTGAAGAAAGATGAGTACTGCGCATCAGTAAGGTCAGGTGGTCACTCACGGGTCATGAGGAATGCGTGGATCATTTCTATCTTCGCTTCGTGTGCCCGAGCCTTTGTGGATCGTGGAATGGCAGGGTCGTCAGGGGTATCGGAAGGGTTATTAGCATTAGCAGTCGTAGAGAATGCAAAATAGAAGGATGCAGGTGGTGGGAGGCTCGCCCGATGGTAAGTGGGTGGCAGTAGGGAATGGTGATCTTCATTGGAAAGTGACATAGGAGTTGGGCAGTTGTTGACAACCTGTGTAGAGAAAGAGTAAAAATGGTCTAGCCAATCCTCATGGTCATCATCCTTGGGCGGGTCAAGCTCTGACTGTGGATGGCAGGATAAGCCATCAGGGCCGGCATGCCTGTCTGCAGGAATGTGGATGAGTTTGAACAAGAAAAGGAGGACACCAGCGATCCAGTGATTGATCGTCGTGTTAGGCTGCAGATCTGGGTTATTTATCATGCCCTTAATATACTTCACATCTACCTCCACAGTGAAGTTAGTGAGACCGAAGATGTATACACGTACTGTGTGCAATGCATGGAAGAGACTGTACAACTCAAGCTTGGCCTGGGAGTAACAGCTTTCCACTTTGTTGAGGGTGATGGATCCAAAGCAACTTGGGTACCATCTGCCATCTTTGCCGAGCTGGTAGAGGATGTAGCCAACTGCGATGACTGATGTGTCTACTGTGGGGGACTTTACAATTTCATCCTTGAGTCATTGCATGGCAGCACGTTGCAGCTTGTCCCATGTGAATGGTACATCTTTCTGCATGAGTGTGACTAGTGGCCACATGATCTTGGCGAAGTCTTTGATGAAGATGCATAGCACACTGCAGACACCGAGGAAACTGTGAACCTGAGTCAGGTTGTGGCACTCGGGCCAGTCGCAGATCTTCTGCACTTTGCTTTCTTCAGGAATGCGACCTTCAAAGGTGCACTTGTGGCCAACAATCACTGTGGACGGAGCGGCTAGTATGAACTTTTTTGCTGAGATGGTGGCTCCGACATTCTGCAAATGCTGAAGGATATGGTTAACGACTATACAGTGGTTCCAGATAAATTTCCAAATCCCAGGATTCTCCAGGATAGTCTCATAGGACCTGTCTGCATGCTGATAGCAGGTGGTCTCGGATTTTACAGGGATGTCATCTATGAAGGGCAAGGTATGATGTGGGATCTCATCCTGGAGAACAAATGCAGTATCTCCCTGGTATACCTGGACTGCGTTCACATGACCTTGTGGCAGGGTAGTAAGCCAGTGCAGCCTGAGCGGGGTACCAAAAGTGGTGAGGTCGCAGGAATCCACATGAAGTGTGCGCTGGTCATACCCGGAGTAGAGGTCCATCATCACATATACCGCATACCCAGCAAAGGATTCTGCAAGATGTTCTACAAAGGGCGGAATGGACGTGTCGCAGATGGTCACTGCATTCAGGGGCTGTAAGTCATGCACAAGGCGAAGAGACTCTCTGTCTTTCTTTACTACGCAGAACCAGTGGGAGCGGTAAGCTGCTGTAGAAGGTTCATACATGCTGGACTTGATGTGATCTTTAATCATGTCTATGACTTGGGCATGTATCGCATTCGGGATAGGGATATTGCATTGGACCCAAGGCATGTGCAGAATCATAGGAATCTTTACTGGCAGAAAATAGTGTTTGTCTAGGTGTCCGTGCTCTGTAATGTCCCAAGCGAATGTGAGCTCATGGACCGAAACGAGCCAAGTTACGAGTTTAAGTTCTTCTGGCCAAAGCCAATCTGCAGGATTGAGGTCAAGTTCCGCAGCCCATTCAGCAGTGAAGCGGATGCCCAGAGCGAAGTCTGGTGGATGGGTTGGAAGTGGTTGGAGACCAGCGAGTGGGTTGTCAGGCAGGCTGCGCACGATGCAGTATTCTTCTGCCATTGGGGCAGGTACCATCCAAACCTTCTTGGCAACTGGCTTGTAAACAAGAGTGCGAACCGCAGGGTCTAGTTGATAAATGCTGCCGAATGCAGCTATAGCAGAGGGGTTTAGTATTGTCTGAGTGGAAGAGAGGAAAGCGAAAGCAGGCAAGGGTATTCCAGTGGGTATGTTCCATGGTATGATTGCCATGGGCGAAGGGAAGTTTGTAGAAGTGAAGGCTAGTGACGATACTGTAGGACTGAGGAACAGATAACAGCGGCTAAATAGGAAACAGGACGTTTTAGTAGGCTCTCCCTGACTGCTTGGTGGATCATTGATATTCAAAAACCCCATTCAACTATACTCTGGTGACTATGGCAGTGCTTGCTGCATTTGCAGCATGGACAGCCCTCACGCCACAGGCACATGGGCACAGTGTACTCACAGCTGTTGTTCGGGTCTCAGAGAGTGATCCGCTGTCCACTGTCAGGATAATCATTTGTTACCACACTCATAAGGCAAATGAACGGATGTCCGAGGAGCATGTTGAAGTTGGCACGTTCGATTACTTGAACCTGTAGCATGACTGGCCCGGCACCAAAGTCGAGTTTCAGGTTCTCTAGTACACCTACAGTAGTGTCTTTAGACATGTTAGCAGACATCATAGTCATGAGATGATTGCAGCGCAATGGAAGCCCGATCTTTTCCCAAATGTGCCTGGGCATGGTGACAATTTCTGAACCAGAATCTAGTATGCAGTTGATTGTGACATTGGTCCTGGGGACCTTGGCTTCGATGCAGCAGAGCAGCAGAGTGTGGTGAGCTACGATGGGGCCATCATCACCGTGGATAACACGGTCTCCATATTCGTGCACGGTTCTTTGAGGATCACGGCTGGTCAGTTCATTCACTTGTACTCCTTCTTCATTGTTGCTACGAACTACCTCAATCTCATTTGTGGTGATGCATTTCACCATGGTGATGTCTCTGAACTGTTTGCAAAACTCTGGGGCTACTGCAAATAATTCTTTGACTGGCATGGCAACACTGGTTTCAAGTATGTGCTCCATGATACACTTGGGCATGGCTTTATCTTCAAGTGGGAACAAGTAATGATACTGGTTTTGATTGCGAGCTGCTGGGTACGGTGTCTACGACGGAACAACTGCCACAGGAACGGGATCCTTACACACAGGCATTGGAGCTGGACTAGTTGGAGGAACATATGGTTTCGTAGTGGTGGACGTTGCTGCAGGTGTAGAGGGATTGGATGCCTGGCAAGCAGCACACGAACTTTGAATGCCAGGGGAAATGATTTCCTCTTCTACAGTGGCTGCACATGGGTCAACTCGTGGAGGGTTGGCAGGATGTGGGTCGAGCTGTGATTTCAACTCCATCGAAGCGGGCTTTCTTTCCATGGGGAATGACTGCTCCCTTGTTACCTTTATCCACTTGGTAGGTAGCCCAAGCTTGAGCGACATATGCTTGGAAGTCAGGGTTGGCTAAGTCTGCGACAGGTTCATTGGCATCTTGGACGGTGTTTAAGAAGGCAGAAGGCAGGATTTCCAACTGCATGTCAATTTCGGGATGAGCAACGCAGAAGAGGTTAGCGGTGCCTTGCACGGAGCAGCAGGAGTCGCAGCATGTGCACTGGCCTGGTCTCTGTCAGCCATGATGTGGTCAACAGCCTCTCTCAGTGAGTTACATTCAGGGAAATGTGGGATTCAGCTCCTGTCCACCAGATAGAGATGGTTGTCTGTACCTCTCGTGATCTTACTGGCACAGATATAAACTTCAATGAGTGCGCACATCCTTGTCCAGTGGTTGGGGTCTGCACAGAAGCTGCAGCCAGGTCTGCATTGCTGTGGTGGAGGCTGCGTCTGGAAGTTGTATTCCTGTTTAATGACAGTACCAGCAGGTGGCACCTGTGGCATGTAAGCTGACAAGGGAGGTGCAGCTGGCGAGGCTGTGGTACCCATCGTTAGTACCCTGCTATGAAGAGCAGATCCTGTCAGAAGGAACTTGGTGGCTTTGATGACTTCTGGGAGCAGGTATGGATCATCAGGGTGGAGGTCGGTGCGGACTATAGAGAGTCGATGACAAATATGATCTGCAATGGCCCTCAGGAAGCCATTCAGGAACATGGAATCCCGTTCTGTCTCTGCAAGCCTTTTAGTTTTAATGAGCAGGGCAGAAATCTTAGCAAATTTCCGCTGGTATTCTCCAAGGTCATCCTGGTTCCACATAGGCTTGGACTGATATTCTTTGACGAGGTACTGCAAGTCTGCACAGCAGTAGCAGTCATCACCCTCGCAGCCAGGGTACAAACCCTTAACAGCTACTATGAAGGCATCCCAGTTGTTGGCTGTGGGAGCGGCTTCTGGGAGCATTTGCCAGACCTTGGCTTCTTCGAGGTCAGCATAGCAGATTGCAGCTCTGATCTTGCCATGGTCATCAAGAGCAGCAAGAGTACCGAGGAAGTCGATGTCTTCAAGGTAGTGTGGAAGCTGTGTGGGAGAATCTCCACTAAATTTAGGTGAGTTTTGTGTTCTGCAGAGCAGCATCTGAAACTGAGGATTAGCCATTGGTGGGTTAACCTGTGGTGGCAGTGCCAGATTGGTAATGGATGGAATGGGTATTGGTTGCGGGTGCGAAGCAGTTGGTATAGTGCATGAGCGAGCTGGCAGAAGCATTGGCAGGTTACTAATTGGCTGATGGGTGGTCTGCAACCAGGTGAGTGGTCGCAGCAGTGTGGCAGATGGAACTGAGAGTCTGGGTATAGATTCAGAGGCGTCAAAGAGATGGGAAAAAGAGGGTGTCAGTGATGGTGAATCAGATGATGTGATGGGTGTTAAAGGTGATGGCGGGGTTTCAGGCCTTCGGGGAGTTGAGTGGATAAAGCCACTGGGAAAATCAGGGGCAGTGAGATCTAGGCGATCCGACATGGCGGATATCTGATCTGCCGAGATATCAGGAGGAGTGATCACAGGTAGTACCCACAGAATGTCAGCAGGCAATTGCATGTGATCCAGCATTATGGGTGAAACAGGGCGGAAAATGTAAGAGTCTTCTGACAGGTTGAGATTGCGAAAGTGCAGGCATAAATTTTCTAGTTCGGTGCATTCGGTGGTGTGCCTGAGCGACCTTCTGGAAGCAACAGCAGAATCCCTCGTGGTGGGCTCCAGTTGTAGGAAAAGTCCAAGTAGCTGTATAATACAAGCTAGATGGCTTAGATAACAACAATAAAAAAATGAAGGGAACGAATTGCTCATCCCAAGGGATTCTGGACTGTCGAGACTAGAAGGTGAGACCTGGTGCTTTGTAGCAGTAGTGGTTTGTGACATGTGTGGCATGGTCCACGGAATAGTACTGGCGATGCGAGCAGTGTGAGCAGTATACATAGTTCGTGCACAGTGGAATGCAAGACGTGCAGTATAGACAAAGTGTAAAGGAAACTCGTGGTGACCTTCCGAGTGCCAAAAGGTATCATTCTGTACCTAAGTACAGGGCTTTATAGTCCGGACAAACCTGGAACCTAAGTAAGACAGGGTACAGTAAGGGAAAGCTGCACGACAGTGCGTACACAGAAGACAGGCCAAAACAGAGGCTGAGGGTATACTACAAGCACTAAAGGAATAGAGACCATGATAAGAGAAAGAGTCCAAGGAAAAACAACAACCAGAGCACAGTGGCCATGGGTATAGCATCGCACGAGAGGGAGCGAGGGCATGGGAAGGTAGCACATGAACAATGGTGAATGCAAGAGGGGAGCAGATGTAACAGTAGTCACGGAATGATTAATGTTAGGGGCTTACACGTCCAGGGAATGTGGATTCCTCACACCAGAGCAGTTCAAAATACAAACTCTGCAGCATGGCAGAGCAGTGGCTTGCCAGGATCACAAACAAAGTAAAATACCAAAGCCAGCAAGCAACTGTGTAGCGAGACTATGCAAACATACCGTACGGACTCTGAGGTTCTTATTCCTCACGACGAGAAATCACAAAGTTACATATCTATTTTCCTGGGTGATCAACATTTCTCTCATGCCAGAATGTTCGAAGCATGAGAGAGCTTTCATATGACTGGAAGAATATCCAAGGAAGCGGGAGACCGACAGAATCGGTTGATAATTCGAGTGACTTGTAGTTTGGTCGAGATGGCATGGGTAGGCCCGAAGATCAGTAGGCCAGGTAGCAGTACTGTTGGACCAGTCTTTGTCCCCAGCGTGTGTGGTCGCTACATGTGAACTTCAGGTGGTCTGTGCTTGCAAACGTTCTTGCCAGGAATATTGATCTCATCAGCTCTAAGGTTTCCCATACTCATGATTTTTTCGAAATATGCAGAGCTGGGGGATCGAAGATCCATGATCACCATCGAACCATTCTTCTTGGTTGTTGATGTACTATTCAGGGCTCCCACAGGTCTGTGCTTGAAGCTGGCTTCTGTGCTCCTTCAAGTGATTCATCACATGTAAACTTTGAATCATCATGGTGATCAAAAGCCTGGGACAGTGGTGCAAACTTTGTGAGGACATGCATGGGTACTCAGATGAAGGTGTAGCTTGTTATAGACGTCCAGTCACCTCGCTCACATTCACTTCTTTGATCAAATCACCCTTCTCGTTCCTGCAGCAAGACAAACATAACCACAAAACACCAGGTACCACGGGTCTGAGACCAGAGAACAATTGGCTCAGACTAGGATGGATGGCCCAGAAGAACTTAGGAAAATACAATGGACACTCAGACAACCGACTACAGCTCAATACAACACCTATTATTACATTTCGCATCAGTACCAAACCCACCTCGTTCACTTCATGCTTGTACAAGCTCAAATTTGAACAGCTGGGTAGGGATTAATAGAGGAGGATATTGCTCGGTGGGCAGATAGGTGAGAGGCTCAAGGAGAATCTGGAGACATGTCAAGATGATCATCCAAAATGCGAGAGATCTGCCACTGGTCGTACCTGCAATGGATTAGTAGGTTGTTCCAGTCCACGCATAGGAGCAGTCCATGCCAAACTGCTCTCAGCCCTCCTCTCGATGCTAGGTATAACCATCAGCCAACCATTTCATTGGTCTCAAACACCGCAAACTTATGTATATGCTCTCTCGTGTTGCCTGAATGTGATAACCCACTCTGTAGTACTGTCATCGTTGAAGGAAACGACGCAGTCATCTAAATCATGACCATGTTCCTATTGACCTTGATGGTGTAGGTGTTGACCTCGTCATCCTTTGTGATGGTAAACTAGGTGACATGCAAAGGTCAGTCAACTCATTGTGGACAGCAGAGGAATGAGAGTAACTTTGGGAGGCAGCATATCTTCATAAAAGATGACAATTGGGTAGGGAGGGAGCATGCCGCCAGCCTGGTCGTCACGAAGGTATTGTTTATATTCCACAGAAGCAATGTGGTACTCACTGGAACTGTTTTGAGTGGGAGTGGAAGACATCTTGTACGTCGTGGATAAGAGTTGAACTTTTTGACTGAGGGAGGACCAACAACTGGTTGCCTTTTTATCCTCCAGGAACTACATACCTGCGAGGATCCTCGGAAGCTCGCATGGGCAGGTCATGCAAGTATTTTCATATGACAATATGACTCTAAAAGAGCGAGCACTGATGAAATGCTCTGTGAGTACTGGTGAAGCAGCTTCCAAGTGTAGAACGGTCGAGTGACCAGAGCTTTCCACATCTACACCCCAAGTTCCAATTGGATTGCGTCAGTATTATGAAAAGGACAAAGTTAGGGCGCCAACTCGGATTGCATAATTGTGGAACCCGGAGATTAGACCAAGGATTAAAATCAATTCTTCCGAGTTGGAATCCTACTAGACGCATGCTCGGCACATTTATCAGTAATTTGCTCTGTTCAGATCTATCAACAGTAGGTACCAGAGTTGACTGAATTCTGCTCATATGAGATTTGGGGGTCCAAACTGCGCCAAATGCATGGGAACATACCACAGCAGTCGCGTTTGCAGCCTCTGAGCCATTTGTGAGAACCCAGAGATAAGTGCGTGTGAACCAAGGTGACATGGATCCATCGGTTGAGCTGGGCCAGGTGTCGCCACGGTGCGGCCACGTGCAGGTGATGTATGCTGGTGTCTCCAACCAGGAAGGTGTAGTCCAGGCTGTCATATTTGCCATTTCAGACTAGAGTGATAGGTCACCATTGCGACTCCAAGGAACGAGGGTAGTGGTAGTCTCATTGCACAGTGGATGGCAAGATGATCAGGATATTGAGCATGGTGCTAGTGAAGATGCTGAATGTAAAGTATTGACAAATGGGTGTAAACGGCAAGATCGAGGTTACCATATGTAGTCCAGTACAAGCCTGTCCATCGACTGCTGCATATGGAATCAATCACTCAACGATGAAACCATATGTTTAATGTCTTCACCAAAGGCCAGTATCTTGGGGACTACCTGCATGCGTGGGGTTCACCTAGGTGGGTGTACTCCACTGGTCGAACGTAGTGAAGATCCGGAGACGAAAGCTCCCCTCGGGTCAAGTGCATGGAACAGCCTACAAGCGCCTGATTAGTTGTTGTGTTGGAAATTCGGTCACCATGTCTCGGGCTCTGCGAATCGCACAAATCTACAATATGAAAAGAAGAAAGTTACGGCGCCAACTCAGATTGCGATTGTGCAAACACAAGGCACGGTTGAAGGCCCCTCCACAGAGACCCTCCTCATTCCCCTGACCAGCTATTCAAATTTGATCTTGTAGAAGTGTGAAGTGAACAAAGGTGGATTGGTACTGGTACAAAATGTAACCATAGGTGTTGTGTATGAGCAATAGTCAGTTGTCTGAATGTGCATCGTGCTTTGCCGACTTTACGAATGTGACGTCTCACAATCACAACTGACATCCATCTTGGGAAAGCATACTGTGCGAGGGTTTTCATCTTTGATGTACCGAGGCATTGGATATACCACATTTATAGGCTACTCGTACTTGGCATCATAAGCACTTAGCAAACCAGACGAAGGTGGTCCCCAATGACTCAAGGCAACTCAGCTCACCTGGTAGAATAGAAGTTAGAGAACCAATTGATGGGGACAAATTTCATCTTACCTCCAACATGGAAAAAACTTTCTCAAGGCAGGCTCTCAACCCTGATGATCAGGGTGGGTCACTGGTTTTTGTCATGAGGATGGGGTGAGGAAGTCAAAGTTGTACAAATGACATATCGCATATCTGGCGGGAGCAGTTACATATAACGCAGATTACATATTACTGGTGTATGTATTGCGTGTATTGGGTGTACGGAGGACATCGATGTTTTTGAGTTTCCCATCTTCCATGGTATCCTTGAACCAACCAAGATCATCAACGATGAGATGCCTAGCCATTGCTGATGTTAGTTCGACACGCTCTTCAGAGCAGAGAGAAGTACCACACCAATTCTTACAGTTAGGACACTGGATGATCACGATGCCGCTAGCATAGGCATGCTTGGTGCACGAATGTGCAGAACGATGGTTACACCTCTTCACCATACAAGTAAAGGTAGTGAGCAGCTGTGGTTCAGGTAGGTCGACATTGGACTGTTTTGAAGTCACAACGAGGAGGCAGTGGAGAGTTTCATGGCGTCTGTATTAGGTTGTTCAGGTCTTGCCTTGGAATCATTTGACCGGAAAAGGGACTGGAAGGTGGGCGACATGAACGAGGTTGCTTGTCGATCGATTGACGCGTCCCCCATGTCGATGAGGACATCGCATTTTATGACAAGGTTACCGAAGACCAGTGCAAGATCGTTTGGGGAAGACTGCAACTAAGACAACTTCGTCGCCGACGATGGCGTGAGTGGTCATGTGGACCATGGGATGGACAATTGGGTTCACGACCATGCGGGCGAGGACGAGGAAGACGAAAGATCACACATGTAAGTGTGCCAATTACACATAATTATTGATCAAGGCATAGTGGGGATTCATCCAGTGGCGAAGTCAAAGGTAACATCCAAGGCTCCACTCCCACCTATCTCGTTGACAAAGTGAAAGATAAATCTTGTGGCCATGGGTGTCGACATGTCTTGCTGTTGGTGGTGTGCAACGTAAGTTTCTGTTATTCCCCAAGGCTTACATGTTTTTTCGATAGCTTCCCCATTTTCCTAGCAACCGGTGGTGACTTCCAGGTGATATACTGCAAGACAAAGTACCGTGATCAACACTGTTCGCAGATTCATCTGTACTGCTTCTCCTCCTTGCCGTTAGGACATACCAGCAGACCGAGGCAAGTTGTGAGTCACTCCTGCACCATCCAATTCGCATCATTGGGTCCCAGAGCGCTGTTGTGGGGTCCATCTCAGATATAGGTACCACCTTTTAGCTTCCACTTGAATTTGCGGAAATGCTTGATTTAACCCCAACATCTCTGTCTGGTCCATATGCCAAATGCACTTCTGAAGCAGCTGAATTGTTTGACGTATAGGTACGCGATCCTGCCATCCCAGCAGTATGTTAATGTCTCTACTTGCACGCTGAAGAAGCACCAAGAAGTATTAAATGACGACTTGCTCCTGTCAGCAAGTCAAGTCGAAATTCGAGAGATTTTTGTCTGGAAGAGGATCGCAAAGTTCACATGCTAATCATCGTAATTAATCATGCTAACATGTGGAGCGCGGATTACCTCCTCACTACTCATCAGCAAGCAGACTGATTTGTCCCCAATTGTCCTCCACCTGCTCCATGGTCTGCAGCACTATCAAGGATCAGATCTCTTATAGCGTCAATGCAGGATTGCCATCCGCCTGGTCCACATTCCTGGCTGGTCAATTGATCGTGCTCCACTCGGAAATTCATTTTCCTAATGCTCTTTACTGTATCCTGCTCCAACTGTTTTCTCGAATGACCCTTTAATTTGTGAGCCTGTTTTTCTAGATATAGCCTCGGCAATCTTGCTGAGGACCAAATTCACCATTGAGATGCTAAAATCAGATACTAGCATCTAGGCTGTAGGAAACGTACAGAGCTGGGGGATCCAACATTTACGACCACCGTGAAATCACTCTTTTCGCTTTTTGTGTGCTTGTCATTTCATGTTTTCGATGTGCTACTCATGGCAAATGTGGGTTTGCGCTTGAAGCAGACTTCCATGCCCACTGAAACGATTCAGCGTGTGTAAATTCTGAACGATCATGGTCAAAGACTCAGGACAGTAGTGAAGAATTGAGTAGGAATGTGTGTGCGCACTCAGACGAAGGACTCTGCATTGTATTCGCAACCTGACATGGATATCCTGTCACTTCGGTCACGTGGTCACGCATATCATCCTCCCGTCACTCCTGCAGTGGGACAAATGAAATCACACAAAGCCATGTACCGCGAGACTCAGACTCTGGACAGAGGGCTCACATGGCAAAGTACAATGCACATTCAGTCAACTGACTATAGTTTGACACAACACCTATTGTTACATTTCGCACCAGTGCCAAATCCACCTTGTCCGCTTCACACTTTTACATGCTCAAATTTGAACAGCTGGGACAGTAAGTTCCCATCCATTGGTTGTGTTCGAGGCATGATGTGGGTATGGGACTGCCAGATTTCGTACCTCCAACAGGCTAGCCATGGTACCAATGATCAGCATGAGGTTGATGGATGCGAACAGAGGAACTAGCACCGAGCGGGGTGCACCAGGGCCGAGGGAGGGCAGACTACTGATCTCCACATCAAAATTACTGCTCGACGGTCTGCAGACTTGGGAATTAGTGTGGGAGAAATCATGGTCAATATCATCCAGAAAGCCCAGGTTGTTATCAAGGATATGGCTGGGTTGATGGCAAGTGTTCTTTTCATGTGACTTTGTGCCAGTGAAATCAAGTTTCTTGTGCAGAATTGAATGGCTCCGCAATACATCCCCACCTAATTTAATTGCCCTCGTGCATCCTACCCAAGTCTGAGCATGTTTCCGAGGACGTGTGAAGATGAATGGTCCTGCACCTCCCCCGAGACTGCTTGTTCAGTTGCTCTACTGAAATCTTCAACCTAGCACATTTGCAGTGTGCATTGTGGCTAGACAGGTAAATAGTGGGCCCGTGCTCGCACGGTACATGCTTGCCTCGCAGCGAATCGGTTTTCCAAACCTTCATCCAGTACCCAGGAGGCTGGGTCGTGTTTTAGATATTTATGGTTGAACTCATCCAGCGAAGGGCATGTGAGATGTCCCATAGACGCCAGAGACCTTCTGCAAAAAGGTTGCTGTCCATTTGCTGCACTCGCGACGTACTATGGGTACCAAACTGGTCTTCGATGTGCCATCCATGATGGAGTAGGATCTCAACTTAGAAGGACTGATTTTAATCCTTGGGCCAATCTCCAGATCCCATAGTTGTGCAAGCTGATCGAGCTGGTGCCCTAACTTTGTCCTTTTCATATTCATTATTGATGAAGCCAATTGAAACTTGGGGGCGTGGCTCTGGAGGCTCTGGTCATTCGATTGTGCCACACTGAGAAGCTGCTTCACTGGTACTCACAGAACGTTCCATCACAGTTTGCTCTATTTGAGTGACATTCACATTCGAAAATACTTCGCATGACCTGCCCGCTGCAATCCATGGGCTTCTGGGGATCCTTGCAGGTACATAGTTCGCAGAGGATAAAAACGTGACCAGCTGTTGGCCACTGGCCATCCCTCAGCCAAGAATTCGACTCTTCAAATCCACAAGATGACTCAAAATGGTTCCAGCAAATACTACATTACTTCTGTGGAACATCAACAGTTCCTTAGTGACGCCAAAGACAACGGCATGCTTCCTCCCTACCCAATTGTCCTTCATCTTCCTAAAACTATGCCCCCCATGGCTATTCTCATTCCTTGCACCATGCATGGGGAGTTGACTGACTCTTTGTGCATTGTCTAGTTTACCTTCATAAAATGCAAGGGGGTCAACACTTACACCATCAAGGTCAATGGGAATACCATCCGGAACTTAGATAATTGTGTCAATTCCTTTGAAGATGGACATACTGAAGAGTGGATTATCACTTTCAGGGAGGCCCATAGACCATATACATAAGTTTCTGGTGTTTGAGACTGATGAGATGGTTGAAAAATATAACAATACCTAGTGTCGAGAGGAAGGGTGAAGGCAGTTTGGCACAGACTGCTCCCCAGCTCAAGCCGAAAAAACCTAATCCCTTGCAGGTATGACCCGATGTCAGCTCTCTAGCACTTCGAACGATTATTCTGACATATCTCCAGATTCTCTGTGAGCCCCTCATCGGTAATTTATCAGCCCCTCCTCAGTTTGACCCTGCCCATCTGTTTAAATTTGAGCTTGCGAAAGAGTGAAGTGAACAATGTGGATTTGGTACTGGTGAGAAATGCGACGATGGGTGTTGTGTATGAGCTATAGCCAGTTGCCTGAATGAGCATCGTGCTTTGCCAATTTTATGAACGTGACCATCTCACAATCACAATTGATATCTGTCTTTTAAAGCATGCTATGCGAATACTGGTGCAGGTTTTCATCTTGGATGTACCCAAGCATTGGACATACTGCACTTATGGACTACCCGTACTTGGCATCTTAAGCACTTGGTCAACCAGACAAAGGTGGTCCTCAACAACTCGACACAGCTCAATTTGCCGGTAGGACAGAGATCAGAGAGCAGTCTACTGGGCACAAAATCCATCTGACCTCCAACACAAAAAAAATGTTCTCGAGGTGGGCTCTCAACACTGATGATTAGAGTGGGTCACTGGTTCTTGTTACGAGCAGCCAACATATGAGTTTCCTCCAGTTGGCACATTTGATGGATGCGAGGGAATGAGGAAGTCAGGATAGTATGAATGTCACATCATATGTCAATGTATGTATTGTATGTAGTGGGTGTCTCCGGCTCTGCTTGGATAACATCGACTGGTCGAAACGCGAGAAACGGATATTCCTCAAACACAGCTTGGAAATCCGTCTCGTCTCACTGTGAGTCTTGCCATACATATATGCCTGTGCATGTATTTCTCATACCCACTTAGCCAGCTGGAAGTTTCGCAGTTTAAAGCTGCTCTGACATGGATACAATGTCCTAAGCTGCACTGAGCTCAGGGAGGGCTTGGAGCAAAGTATATTGATGATAGACAAGGATAAGCAAAGTAGACAATAGTTAGACCCTTAATAAAGTCTCAACTATCAAAGCTGCTGAATGAATTACTGAGTGATGATAAAATGTGAGCAAGAGGGGCTCTCTGATGTCTTCTTTTTATTTTGCTATCTAAGTACAGTGATTTATATACAGTACAGGGATGTTGCCCTTGGAAAACAAGGTGCAAACACTTGGTAAGTGATTGGTAACTGATGAGTAAGGAATGTAAGCAATGGGTAATCATCTTGGAAAGAATTGGTAAGCACTGGTAAGGATTAGCAAGCCAAAAAGCAAAGAATCAGTAAGCAAAGTCAAAAGATTGGTAAGTATTGGCAATAGGTGAGTCAAAGACAGTCAGAATGTCAAAGTATGAGTCAAGTGATGTCAGGAACTGGGAAAGCACACTGGAATCACATTAGGGGGAGGCTGTGCATGTCACATCTCAAAGAGCTCACTTCTAGGCCAAGGTGGGATGGCAGAGAGGCAGTGCTGATCTGATGCCAATATAGTACATCCAAAAGTGGACAGGGTGAGTCAGGTGTCAACAGGGGTCAAGCTTTGGGGGTCTGTGGGGTGACAGGAGCATAGTGGATTGCAACTTTCCCCCCAAACCATCCTCTCAGTGAAGCAAATAAAAACTTCATGAATGATGCTCTGTTGGAAGAGAGGATGAAGGGGGAGTGTCTTCTGCTGTATCTTGCAACAAGGAGGCAAGATGTGCATCATACTCATCATGGATGTGATCAGGGAGAGTGGAGAACAGTAGATTATACTGTAGCTGTCGCAGTCTTGGAAGAATGATGGATGAGACTGGTATGAAGACATTGCAGGGAGCAGGGAGGAAGGATCCATAAGCTTCTTGGACTGGAGAGACTGAAATGACCACATAAGACCTTTCCAAGCAAATGACAGACCTGAGGTGACCAAAGAACATCCTCCTAGAGGTCATACTGACAAAAAGAACATGCTGTCCAAGCTGGATGGGCTGAGAGGGCACAGATGAGGGTGGGATGTACCAGGATGCTTCAGGATGGAAGCTGGTAGGAACTCCTGGTAGGTATGGTCCCTAGCAAAGGGGACAAGCAAAATGATTGATGTAGAGGCAGCCATATCAGAAGAATTTAGTGAAATGAGTGTCTTTTGGAGGGAGTGCTGTAGAAACATGTGGAGTGTGCAAATCCTTTCCAATTTTGGAAGGTAAGATTGTGTGGCTGAGCACTACAAGCGAGTGTGGGAATGCTCTCTGTATCTGCAGAAACAGCAGAGATATGTCAAAAACTAGAATGCCATACATGAGTGCTTAAGAACTTTAGCCAGTGCTGAACTTGCTCCCTTTCTTTTTCTCTGGCACTGATGACTTGTTCTTGTGTGAGGGATGACTGCTGACATCTCTGGCTGTCCTTCTTCGCATGAGGGCTATGGTCTTCATCTCCATTCATCAGCTGTATCCATGTCCACCTCACCAAACACCTTTGGTGTGTGACAGTGAGGAAGCCACAGATGAGACTGATGGCCAGGATATCACAGCCAAGGAGATGGCAAACCTCAAGGCAGATGGTGGGGACACAGAGATCCACCACACATCAAACAGGCCAGAACATGAACAACTGGAAAGGGCCAACAATGAAAGGCTGGCCAGGATTGTTGAGGTGAAAGCACTACCAAGCATTGGAGCATCCAGCTACCCCCAAACTCAGAGAACAGAGCTCAAAGGGGAGTGGGATGGCAGGTGTGCAAGCAGTGGCACAGATGTGCCACAACACTATGTAGACAACCCCAGCAGCAACACAAAGGACACAGGTGGCAGCACAGATACACTGCAACACAATACAGGTGACCCTGGTCACCATGCACATGAGAGAAGCACACACATGAGTGCCCAAGACCCACCAATCAGTCTCCAGACACCAGCCAAACACCCACAGGAGGGAGTTGGCACTACAGCTGCTAAACAGCATGCAGTGGGGGAGATGAGCTGCAAGGAGTCAGATGGGCATGCTGAACCCAAGGTCATGGCTGAGCAATGCAAATGTGAGGCTATTGAGCCAGTGCCAGACCTAACTCTTCAAATGGAAGCGCACACTGCCAAGAATTTACTATGAATGCCTACAGAGCACAGTCAACCTAAACCCCCTATGACAAACTACATACTGGAGTCACCAACTGAGCAGGGACAAGTACTGCTTGAGGGGGAGTATGGTGGTAATGTGAGCAGCTATGCAAATGGCCAAAACACCAGTGGAAAGGATCTTTGAGATCACACAAACAAGTCAGCTGGTAGTGAGAGCCATCAGTGCACAATTACAAAGATGCTGGAAGTATCAAGGGTCAGCAACAGAACAGTTGAGAATGGGAGGGATGCACCAAAAGTGTGAGTGCAGCCAGTCAAGGCTGAAAATGACCAGGACAGCAGTAGTGGTTGCAACACTGGCTCACATGGAGTTGAGGATGCATCACCACCCATGGCTGCAACTCAGTACACCTATGAAGACACCCTCAACATGCCAGAGCTGCACAGCAGTGCACCTGGAGGTGCAGGACTGCACATCGAGCAGGGTTGCACATTGGCAATAACAAACAAGACCTGTAGGTGTCAGTACACACCAGAGGAGCACCTGAAGGAAGGAATTGGTACTACAGCTGTTGAACAGCACACAGTGGGGTCCAGTGAGATGCAAGAGGTCAAGACACTGTGAAATGAGTGCAACTGTGCACTGGCAAGACCACAAGAATTCTACATACATTGGCACATGCTTGAGAGCACACCTGAAGACAGTAGAGAGCCAGAAGTGCACAGAGGCACTGAAACTTCCCAGCCAGTCAGTGGAGATGTCAAAGGGAGCACAACAAGGCTGGAGACAGGGCCTACCAGCACTAAGACAGCCAAGGCATGAGCATGCCTGCTGGACACAGAATCAGGGCCAAGGGAGGCCAGTGTTGGAGTGAAATGACCCCTGTCCATACTTGGACTTAGGCACGTGATCATGTCGCTTACATAAGCGATTAGAGCGCACACATACACTAGTAAAATTTACCTAGTCCCTCAGTAGCTTGACAGACTACTGAGGGTGAGTACACTTCTACATAGATAGAATACCCTTACTAACTTGTATAGTTCCCTACAGGTACTATACTCAATATAAGTAGCTTGACAGACTACTGAGGTTCCCTACAGATTCCTCTCTGGGTTTCCCCTCTGCAACCCCACAAACTTCTTCAGATAAAAGGGTGGTGGGGTCCCCATGGAGAGCAGCACAAGTAAGTTCTCATCAGAGGGCTGCTGCTACTCTGACTGTGACCCATCCCAGGCCAGATATTTGAGCAGGTATTAGCAGGACTATCCATCAATGATGGAAGTTGCCCTTACCCCAGAAGGGTGACTGATGAGGCACAATGCTCATGGTGCTCAATATACATGATTTAGGAATAAGGTAAGTGGGGGAAGAGTCAACAGTGTGCACCCTGGCTCATACCAGTGACCAGCCCTCAATTGAGGGGGGTACTCTTCTGTATATCCTTGGGACTGTGCAGCACCTCCATTGCCATGTGTGACTTCAAGGCAAAGTAGTAACACTTGCCACACAGGCACAAGAGATCTTCCTTAGAACACACTACATGGTTATCCAGACATTGTGGTCTGTATTGATGTAGGGAAGGAAGTCCCCTTATCTCTATGTACTATGAATCCCTTTATACTGTAGCAGACAGGTATGAAACCTCAATGCAGATGAACAGGCCAAGTAAATCAGAAAGATAAATGAGAAACAAATTGGATCTGTCAAGTGAACGAACATCTCTTGGGAACATACTGTCAATCGTCGGTCTGAAACCCTACATTCCCCCCTCCAGGGTACAAAGTACCCTCTCCAGTCATACTTGCAGTAGCACCTTCCTTATGTGGACTTCCCTGGGGGTTTTCCCACAGTGAATCCCTGTGCATCCTCATGACTGGCCATGTGTTCTGGGCTAACCACATCATTGTCCTCCCCTAAAGCATCCTTGTCCTCCCCTAAAGCATCCTTGTCCTCCTCAAAACCCTCATCCCCAGTCATGGTGTGGTTGATGACGAAGGTACTGGGACCAGAAACTAGCTGTCCAGGTGCATAGGAGTTGCAGACATGAGGATTGGTGTTAGCATTTGACTTGTGTGATCTCTGGTTAGGCCTTGAGGATTGGGAGATGCGAGGAAGGCAAGTGTTGCAAGGGAGGGGATTACCATAAGGCTCAGCCTCTCACTTTTGACTGTCTCATTGCTCCCAGCAGTCGACATAACCCTGGTGAGCCCTCCGCTGTTGCTTCTTGACTCGCTCAGCAGTATCCCACAGGAGGGCATTGATGGTATCCATCTGAATGCTACTGAGCATCTGTCCACCTGTGACCTCTTCTTGGCTGTGTAGGTCCGCATCATTCCCCAGTACCTCCTGTCTGGTTGGGGATGGTCCCTCAGCCACCACAACTATGTTCCTGCTGTCATCAACTTCATAGTAAGCAAACCTCACCTTGGACTTCGCTTCGCAGCTGTGCACTTCTCTGAACAGATGATAATACCCATGGGGGTGTCCAGGGCGACCTCATGTTTGTGTCGAAGTGAGTGGTTGTACTCAAAGTATGTCTTAACCTGTTCCCTGTGAATTACCACATGCTCATCTCCCTGTCCTTCCTCATCAGGGTTGCAGACCAGGAAAAGGTCGGTACTTTGTCACTTGATGTTTTTCAGTTTTGCATATGGTGGACATGAAGTTTGGTCTGGTATGAGCAGGTAGGGGACAGGTCCTGAATGATAAGTTTTGTAAGTCATTAACGACTTCTGTGATTGTGTGCTTAATAGGTTCTAGGTCCCTCTTGATGATGTTACTCTGTTCACCTCACCCTTTGCACCAAGAAGATGGTTGAATTTGGTAAGGATGTTTTTTGTTAGGGGTGTTAGAAGCAGGATACTTATCAGTGATGTGCTTGGTGCCCAGATCTCAGTTCTGTCAGCAGGTGCTGGCATGAGGGGCAGCCATACTGTAAATTGTTTGGGAGGTTGTTGAGGAAACAGTGCATGTGGAGTGATGGCGGGGAATGTGTGAATGGTGTGTGGAGCGAAGTGTTGTGGTGAGGTGGACAGGGCGATGGGGTTGTCCTTGGGGCCTGACCATTCCATCTCATGCATGGGCAATTTTTATGGCTTCCACACAGATGTGGTGCCAAGTATCCAATGAATACCTGGGGATCATCATCCAACATGTCCCTGTCACCCACATCCCTCAAATTAGTATCTATTCCATCAACTCTGATTACCTCGAAATAATCACTTAGTGCCTTCAAATGAGCAATGTCCTTGTATGGGAGCCAGGTCCTGATCTCCTGCTGTCCACTGTACTTCAAATGTCAGTGTCAGCATGACTTCCATGGTGCCAGATTATACAATCTATGGCCCATTCATGGTTGGTCCCTCTGAACTCAGGTATCTGGTCATCCTGTTGACCTGGGAACTTTCAGTCGTCATTCGGGATGTGGATCCTTAGTAGGGAAGAGTGGAACACATCATGCACCCCCCTCTGCTTCAGGTTATCTGGGAGCTTGATCCAGAAAGAATAGTTCCTGAAATCTTCCAGTATTCAGTAAGGTCCCATGAATTTTGGTATGAGCTTCCAAGATGTTCCCTTGGGGAGACTAATGTTCTTTGTAGACATGTATACAAGATCCCCTTTGACAAATGGGCAATCTCGGTGCTTTTTATTAGCACTGATGGTCTGCTTCACATGTGATTTCATTATTGTGTTGTGAGCATCCATCATTGTCAGTTTCATCTTATTGGCAAAGGCTCTGACACTTGGGTACTTGTCCTTTGTAGGCATGTCCCATATCATTTTTTGAGGCATCTGTCCAGTATTCAGGAAGAACAGTGCATAGCCTGTCAACTTGGACATCGCACTGTTGATGGTGAATTTGATGGCAGGTAACCATGACACCCAATCCTTCTGGTTATCACTGATGCAACATTGCAACATTTGCCTAATGGTCCAATTTGCATGTTCAGTGGCTCTGTCCATTTCTGGATGATATGCACTGGACATTTTCTGTTTGATTCCAATCAAGCTATTAGGGTGCATCCAGAACAGGCTTGTGAATAGGATGTTGTGGTCACTGACTATCACCCTAGGTAGGCCATGGCATTTGTATACCTCAGCAAACATCAATTCCATGACCTTGCATGCAGTGTAGGTTGTTTTACTTGGTACCAGATGCACCATGGATGTTAACAAGTGGATGATCACAGTGATCGAATTGTAATTTCCATTGTGGTCTTTGGACTCAGGTAGGGGGCCTACGAAATCGACCCCAATCACTTCCCATGGTTGTGAAGGGATGGGCAATGGGTTGAGCAGTCCAAACAGCTTGTGTGTTGGAGGTTTGCTGTGTTGGCAGGTTCAGCAGGACACACAGAACTCAGTGATGTCCTTCACCATAGTGTCCCACCAAAGGAACTCCCATATGTACAAGACTGTTTTCTTCATGCCAAAGTGGGTGAGGATAGAATGCACCTGATTGATCACAGCTTCATGAAGTCATTTACCTTTTACCTCGATGTTAGGTACACAGAACACCATGCGATCTTGTAGCTTCAGTTTAATGAATCCATCCAGTGTGACTTCAAAGTTTTTGAATGCCTTTGGATCACTCAGGATTTGCTTAAAGAAAGGGTCCTGGTCGTATTTGTCCTTTTCTGCCTCCAGTAGGCCCTCATGTCCTGGATATACTACTAATGGTACACATGTCATTGTGCTCTTATCCATGCTGTCTGGGGCAGCAGCAGGTTGATCTGTGTTTGTCACATGTGCATTCTGCATATGGTCCTGCAATGCAGATGTGGTGGGGTCATTCTCAGGTGAGGCAGGTATGTCTGTACCCTTCCCCCCCTTCTTTCGCTCACCTGGGCCCAGGAGAGTGAAATGATTCTTCATGTGACTTGCAAATTCCATGCCAGTCTCCAGGCGATCTGTCTCTGCTGGAGGAGGAGGATCCCATCGACTATGAGACTTCACCATCAGTTTACCTGTCTGCATAGCATTGACAGACTGGTCCTGTGGTTTTCTCAGTGGCCTAATTTGGATTATCAGTCAGGGCACACTTGATGATGATGACAATCCTTCAGGTGCATTCACCAATCCACTCCCAGATGGTTGATCTGTTGACATTCCTCATTCATTCGGGGACATGGCAAGTGCTTCGATTCCAATGTATACAGGCATGGTAATGATCTGCTCAGTGTGGTCTCGAGACATGGAGTCGATTTCCACATCATGATGTAGGTACTCACTCAGGGTGCAGATCATTCCTGGAGTATAAAACTCATACATTCTTGACAGTGCATCTGGGAGAACATTGTCCTTGCCCAGGACATGCTTTATCTCAAAATTGAACTCTGCCAGTTTTTCCAGCCAGTGTGCTTGCCATCTGGAGAGTTCCTTCTGGTCCAGCAGGTATGTCAGGTTTTTATGGTTGGTCACCCAGGTGAAGTGGATGCCCTGCAGAATATCCTTATGCCTCAGCATCGTTTTGACACCTGCAAGCAACTCCTGTTCATGGACAGGGTAATTGCACTGTGCAGATGACATCTTTGCTGAATAGAATGCAGCCACTTTGGAGGACTTCCAATCCAGTCCCTGAGCAATAACACCACCAATACCATTCCCACATGCATCAGTCATCACCCATATGGGATTGCAGTTGGGCCCATAGCTTAGCAGTACTTGACAGTGAGGTGCACACACTGTGACATATTGCTTCACCATATCAAACACTCATTGTTCAGTATATGTCCATCTAAATGGACAGGTTTCCACACTAGCTTCTGCTAGCACTCCCAGGGGTACATGCACTTTGTAAATGTCTTCAGCGAGGTAACCCACTGACCCTATAAAACCCTTGCACAGGGTGTGATTGGAAGGAACCTTCTAATTGTGGATCTGGTCAACTTTCTCTGGGTCCATTTTAATGCTGTCATTGGTGACAATGCATCCAAGGATCTTTGTCACAAAGGAACCACAATTTCTTCTTGCTCAGGTACAACTTCTCTCAAGTGAGAACCTGAAGCACCAATTTAACATGGCATACATGATCCTCCAAGGTATCAGAATAAATGATAATGTCATTGAGATAGATGTCCATGAAAGACCAAATGTATTCCCCAAAGATATGGTTCATGAGTGCCTAGTAGGTTGCTGGGGCATTACAGTCTCCTTGCTGCACAATGATGCTGACCATATTTCCATCAGGGGTTGTCACCACAGTACACTCAATATGTTCCTGGACTACTTGTATCTGTTCATACACATCAGCCCTGTCTATTATCAATCAGTAAGGTTTCCAAGCCATGCATTGTAGGATGCTGTCCATGTCAGGCATTGGGGACAACAATTTCCTGGTGTTCTTATTGCATTCCCTCAAGTCAACTATGACTTGCAGTTGTGGAGGATCCCCTGCTTTGGGGATGAGCAGCATAGGGCATGTATTGTGGGCAGCTGTAAGTTCCCATTGACCCATTTTCAGGTAAGCATTCTTTTTCTCAGTCCAGAGTGGTCGTAATGCTTCAGGGCATTTAGATGGTCTCCACAGATATATTTTCTTCTCGTCAATCAGAGGAATCTCATGGTTGATTGCATGGAATTGGGGCAAGGCTGTTGAACCAACCATTGAACAGAGTGGCTTTGATAGTTCCTGAAGATATTGGTGTGCTTTCTCAATGCTGTAATTGTACACCTTGGTTGCTCAGGATTCCAGGACCAAGACCTGAGGCCTTGGCCTTTTCATTTCCATTGGTGTTTTACTTCTGATTACCATGCATGGTGAGTGCAATCCTACCAGTACCTGATGTTGGTAAAGGAATGGCATTCCTAAGATCAGGTCATAGTTCTGAATGTTCATCACATCAAAATGACGCTTGCAGTCTATTCCCTGGTACTGGAAGCATACCTTTGCCCCGAAGTTCACTTTTGATTGCAAGCCTTGGACAGCCAGCTGAATAGTGAGGGGCTTTTCCAATGGGATTCTCTTTATGTTCAATTGTTCAGCACACATTACTGACATGAAATCTGCCAGGGAACCAGTGTTGATCAGGGCTCACACAGGTTGGCCATTGATATGCACCACCACAACTAGCAGCTTTGGAACCTTACATGTGAAATCTTTTGTGATTGCAGCATTGTGCTGCAATGTCAGGTGGCCATCTGCCTTGACAATGGTGCCATGTGGGTGGAGCATGTTACATGGTATGTTCTTGAGCTCACATCCTTCATCATTTGATGCATCGTCATCTTCTTGGAATAGGTGAGATAATCCCAGGTCATCATCCTCAGTGGGATCAGACCCAGCAAGACTTACACATGCATGGAGCAATCTCTTCATGTGCCAATGCACAACATCAAACTCTTCTGATTTTAGTTTGCACATGGGGAGCTCGAAGCACAAGGCTGTGTCATAGTCATAGACCTCATAAGTCAAGTCATCTGTAAGGATGCACACAAAGCATCCCTGATTCTCTCCTTCAAGTACCTGCAGGCTGTACATCTCCAGCTTGGTCTCTATGG